GGAAGAGTTGATGATGACAGTGGCGAGCTCATAATGCTCGTGGTCGCACGTGAAGGCGTGCGAGAAGGTGCTACCCACAGTGATGACGCCGTTCGGCCTCGGCATCTTCAGCTTCAGGTAGGTGTAGTTGAAGACCGCCATGAACTTGGCATAGCATGGCCGTCCCAAGATGGTGTGGTAAGACCCTAGAAAGTCCACCATCTCGAAGGTTAGGACCTCCGAGCGGAAGTTGGCTCGGTCACCAAACGTGACGGGCAGGTTGATCTGCCCGAGTGGGTACGCCTGCGCTCCCAGGATCACGCCGTGGAAGGGAGAGCTCGCCGGTCGGAGCTCCGACCGGGGGATGCGCATGAAGTCGAGGGTGTCGACGTAGAGGATGTTGAGGCCGCTACCTCCATCCATCAGCACCTTGGTGAGGCGCTTCTTGCGGACGATGGGGTCGACAATGAGCGGGTAGCGCCCTAGTCTGGCGACGTGGGACAGATGGTCCCTCCGATTAAAAGTGACCGGAGATTCTGACCAGCGAAGGAAGGAAGGGACAGCCATTTCAGCGACGCACGCCTCTCGCTAGCGCACTTTGTGCTAGCGCTTGGAGTAGACGGCATCGGATCCCCCGAAGATCATGATGCATTCCTCGGGGTTGGGGAAGCCGTCCCCATCTTTGCCTGCCACGCCTCCTTTCTTGGCTGCTGCTTCCTTGCCCTTTCCTTCTTTCGGCCCATCGGCCTGTTGTAGAAAGCGCTTGAGGAGCTCGTAGTCCTGATAGAAGTGCTTGACGGGGTAAGCATGGTTGGTGCAGGGGCTATCCATGAGCTTGCTAAAGTGGTCAGGCAGGCCCTGCTGGGGCTGCTTGCCCGCGCGATCAGCTGCGGCGACCAACGCGAGTTGGCCGGTCGGCGCCGATCCTTTTTGTTCTTCTTACCCCTCTGCGTGGAGGGGCCCTCGTCTTGGTCCTTGCGCTTGGCCTTGCCCTTGTCCCGGCCTCCGTTGAAGACCGCTCTGACCGCCTCCTCGCCGGAGGCGTGGTTCGTGGCGATGTTGAGCAGGTCGCGGTTGGTTCGGGGCTTCAGGCAGCCAAGCTTGTGGATCAGGGACTCGCATGTCGTCCCGGAGAGGAATGCGCTGATGACGTCCACGTCGACAACATCAGGAAGGGAGTTACACCACTTCGAGAACCTACGGATGTAATCCCATAGGGACTCATTGGGCTCCTGCTGGCAGCTCTTGAGGTCCCAAGAGTTTCCAGGGCGGACATACGTCCACTGAAGTTCCCGACAAAGACCCTCTTGAGGTTCGCCCAGTCGCGGATGCTGTTGTGCGGGAGGAATTCGAGCCACGCTGGAACATGTTCCCCCACGCAGATGGGGAGGTACTGAATGATGAAGTGATCATCATCCACTCCCCCGGCTCGGTAGGCGAGCCGGAAGTCTTCGAGCCATATTCCGGGGTTCATCTCCCCGGTATACCGGCGATGTTGGTAGACGGTCGAAAGCACTGTGGGAACGGTGCTCTCTGGATGCGCCGGCCAAAGGCCCGTGGTCCCGGGCCATCTGGGCTGGGACTCCGGTCGTCCGATCGGCGACCATGCCTGGGGTGCGTCTCCATGGTCTCCTCGATGGTCCGGTCGGAGCCCGTGTCGTCTGCTCTCACTGCCGCCCGATGGATGTCATCATCATGCCAGGCCCGACGCTGATTGCTGATGATGCTGCGAGCGTCTTGGTTTCGCCCGAGGCATTCATGCATAGGCGGTCGGCGTGGAGCGGGTGCCGGGTCAGGCTGTGGCGCCAGCTGCTCCCTCTTGTGCCGCGCTTTGGCGGCTGTAGCGGTGAGCGGATGGAGCGATTCGTCTGGTGCGTCCCCACTCCCCTGGTGGGAAGAGAGGCCACGAGTGGGTGTCGCGATGCGGAGCTCTCCTCCTGTTGAACAGCGATAATTTCCACTAGTGCCTGGAGGTTCCGGTGGATGACCTGTTCCTAGGGGTAGTCCAGCTAGAGCAGGCCACGCAGAAGCATCAACGCCGCGGTGATGTTCTGGCCAGCCCGAGCGAACTGTGGGGGGATCATTCCCCTCGTCCATGATGTTGCACTGGACCTGGTGGGCGTCGCTCACCGGGTTACGCGCACGGGGCGCATCGTGGTGCGCCGAGCACGTTGGCGCAGGTGGCGGCTGGTTCCTCGCCATGCACCTGGGCACAAGCGAGGGCATCCACGCGAGGGTCCGGAGGGGTGTGGGTCCGAAGAGACTCCACTACCACCGGCGGCTGTCCCGGGGCGTCCCCCATAGCGCACTCCCAGGACAGAGGGTGGCTGGGTGCCATGACGCCGCCGATGCTGGAGCCGTCGCTCTCAACATCATCATCCAAGAGGTCGTGAAATAGGTGGTAGCGTAGCTCGCCATCCCCATGAATTCGGATGTGAGAGGGGTGGCGCCAGCATCCTTCGGAGCCCCCGGGCGTACACGTCCGCAGGGGATACGAGACCGTCGGGGAACCGATCGCATGGCGGTCGCGGTAGGGACAACGGGGTCCCTTCGGAGAATCGGCGAAAAATAGTAAAAAGTGAGTAAAGAACATAGCGTACATTACTCACAGTGGGGGTTGAGCAGAGCATATGCTCAGAATGAAGCGCAAGCGCCTCGCCGTTGAAGTCGTCGGGTGTCCCGGCGTCGATGGAGGGCGCCCCACAAAGCGCCGGAACAAGTGCCTCCTCGTGGAGGTGCAGTACGCCGAGCCGGTCGACGACGAAGTCCAGGCTTCCAAAGAGGAAGGCCTGGGACGGCTCGAAGATGGGTGGAACCCACATCCCAATAGGTGGGAGTGCGGGAAACTCCAGTGAGCCAAAGTGAGTCGTATCGCTTGAGCCCGCCATGGCGGAGATGGCGGAAAGATGGGCCATCCGATGACCAAAAGTGTGAATGTACAGCGTCTTCCCCACGGACGGCGCCAACTATCGGTGCAGAAAGTGACCAACACGTAAATTTTTGTAGTTTTGCCGTACGTTGTGATCAGATGTGGCCTAGCACTCAATGACACAGGGTTTATACTGGTTCAGGCAACGTGCCCTACGTCTAGTTTGAGTCGGTCGGTGACTTTATTCTAGAGCCTAGGTGCTTGAAGTTTGCTGTGGGGTTACAAATGGAAGGGTGTAAGATGGAGGGTGCAAGAGGTTCGGTCGGACTCTGGCCTGAAGGGCCGAGAGTGACGGGAGCTCCACTATATGCTAAGTGTTCGAGCGTGCGCTCTGTGTAGCTTTAGAGTGTCTAAAGCTAGCAGAGGGCGAATCGATGCGAGTGAACTGATCCTCCTGGAGTTGATCAATCTCCCCTATTGGGAGAGAGCATGGCCCTTTTATAGATGAAGGGGACGGCCTTACAAGAGAGAGAGAGAGGAAGTACGTATGCTACTAAGTCTTTGTTGCCCACGCCGTCGGGTACAAGACGATTGCAGGCGCCCATACACACTGTTGATGTCAGACGCATGTGGGAGGTTTTTACCGTATTCTCCATGTAGGGCAAATGATGGTGCCTACAGCACTGTTGATGCCCAGAGGCATGTGGGGGAGCCTTACCATGTTTGTCATGGTATGGGAGTTGATGGCGCCCACAATACTGTGGGGCAAATGTCGGTGCTCACAACACTGCTTGGGTTCTGACATGCCTGAAAGGTTGCAGGGCACCCTTCTGATATGTCCTGTCGGTACTGCAGGTGTATAGGGTACGATCCTCGGTATTACGGTTGACTTGAGTGTCCTGCTTTACCTGCTCCGCCCGTTACCTGGTCCTCACCGAGCGAGCGTCCCCGGTCGGTTGGTCCCAGTCGGCTCCGACTGCATAGGAGAAGAGCTATAAACAGAGGTTTGGTGTATCCCCGGTCGGAGACGCGGGTCGGAGTCAGAAACGTTGTTGGCCAGGCCTTCCGATCGGAGAGGCAGGCTAGAGTCGGAAGCGGCGATGTTCCTCCTCGGCCAGGCCTTTCGATCGGAGAGGTGGGCCAGAGTCGGAAGCGAGCGTTGTTCCTTCTCGACCAGGCCTTCCGGTTCGTGAGGCGGGCCAGAATCGGAAGCGAGGCCTTCCGGTCGGAGAGGCGGGCCAGAGTCGGAAGAGGGCGCCGTTCCTCTTTGGCCAGACCTTCCGGTTGGAGACTGGATTGCCCTTCTGACCTGTCGTTAGGTATTTGGGCCGGCCCAGGAGTTGCGCGTCGTTCGCAACGTCGTCTGCTGGGCCGAGCTTTTGCTGGGAAGCAGGTCCATGAGGGACCCCGGTTTATGAACCTGACAAGTCCTTTCCCAACAAAAAAGGCCATAAAACAATTTCGAAGCAATGGATACATCTAACAACTTTGAAAACTGAAAGGTCAATGCAAGAGAAAATTTTCCTTTCACCAATAAGAGAACCCTCATTCGCTTCTGCCAGGAAGAAAAAGGGGCCATTGATGCTTCACAGGTTTTCGATAACCATCTTTTTTTGCCATTACTTGATGGTCAAAAATCATAAACCTCAACTGCCACATTTGTTTTTCGATAAAAATAAAGGTCGTGTATTTGGCTGAACACGAGATTGTGAGACCATTGCCACAATTTACTGTCAGGGATCGTGATGACTGCATCCACTACAAGCCAACACTTTGATACTTACCTGCCAGAAACTATAAATGCCTACAATAGTAGAGGTCACACCAGGCATGAAGAGTAGTGACTTATTCTTAGACATGACAACTGGCTCTTAGTCGACTAAATTCTAAACACATGAGTGGTCAAACATCTCTGGCTCGTGGAATTCTAGTGGTAATGACATTTAAAGAAAAAAGTGCGTAACAGAGTGGAGGTAAAAGAATTGCTACTACAATTTTATGATGGTAGGGTATGAGAGGAAGGCCCTTATTCCTTAATTGGATAGTTATAATCTTTTGTCTAAATTCCACAACATAACACAGTTGTATAGGTGATTCCAAAAAAAAAAAGTTGTATAGGTTACTGGTAACTAAACATGCATTGGTGACAACATCAATGAGTTCTGCACAGGGAACATGAATAGAAACAGAAGATGCATAGCGAACATCAACAAGGACAAGATAATGCTTAAAAGGATAGAACCTTACTGCAATTCCCAAGTCATGAAGCAATGTTCTTTCCAGGCTATCTCCTCAATAGGACCATGCAAAGTTGACTTGCCGTTCCCACCTAAAGTTAAAGCAGCTATGAGAAATTACAAAGTTATCATGATCCAATTTTGATGATGTTGCCGTATATTCCAATTAGCCATTAGTAGAGAAGCCGTCTACTTATAATCACGTAAGAATATAGTGGCCCATGCTATATAGTATCACCCACGAATCAACATCGATTACCCGCATGAACTCAAAATTAAGGAGATCCAGAGCTCACCTAGCGCCTCGAGGCGCTCCCTCCACACGTTCAAATCCCCCCTGGTGCTCTCCCCGAGGTAGTCCACCTCCGAGAGCCCCGACGAGGTGACTGAGAAGTAGGACTCCTCCTCATCCTCGAGCCCGTCCTCCTCGTCCCGCTCCCCCTCCACCGCAACTGGCCTACTGGCGTCGAGCGCGCGGCACCGGAGACAGATGGGAGGGCGGAGGCGGGGGAGAGCTCTGAGCAGGCTCTGTGGCCGCTGTGAATATACGGAGCTCTGTGGAAGCGACAGCCGCGGCGGGGCCCGGGGGCAGAGGAGGCGCGCAAGCTCGGCGGCGTCCGCCATTGTTTGCTGCGAGAGCTTGCACGAAGACCGGATGGGGGAGCAGAAGTGGGGCCGGCAAAGCCCACACATGAATTTCACATAAACCGTGTAGGAAAGCCTGTTTGATTCTACTCCCACGGTCAAAAAATGAATGAAATCATCTCAAATAAAAATATAAATATAGACTTAAAATCAACTTTTTCAATACCATGGGAAGAACATTCGGAGATATAACCATTGTTTTTTAGTTTTTAGAATGATAGAGTAGGGGTAAATATGTAATTTGATACATATAAGTCATTCCAAGAGATCTTGGAGAAAGTTTTTCATTTGATTTATATAACTAATAATATTTATCATACCAAGTAAGATCATTAGATTCTTCATTAGTTATATTTTCATATTATAACTATTTGATGTCATCAATCTTTGTGTTTTCTCTCTATAATTTTAATCAAACTTAAAAAGTTTGATTCTTGAATGACTTATAATTTGGGAATCAGGACTGAGAGAGTATTATTAGATTATTAATAATCAGCTAGAATTGTCTGCTCCCCTGTCCCAAAATACTTACTGTAACAGTATTCAAATGTTGTCACAAAATAATTGTCATTCTCACTTCTCTCTCTTCTCCCAATAAGTACTTTTTTTTTTTTTCAATATATCTCTATCTTATTTTCAGGAGTACTAAGATTTTTTACCTTGAGCATTAATATATTTATATATGTGATAGATCTTAAAACGTCTACTATTGTGAGACCGGAGAGAATTATGATCTCAAGAGTTTGGACTATAGAATAACTTATTATGATTAAAATACTTGATCACAATAATCCTATAATTGTAATTAGAGATGATAGGTGTTTAACGACCAACTTACCTATCCACAAGAGCCGTTTGCACCTAATACTACCCTTGGTGAACCCTAGGTAACAGGGAAGATTATACCATCTAAGCAATTATTATATTTCCCCAAGTTGTGATAGATACATGCTTATAAAGGGACAACCACTTGCCCTCCTTCTATACATCGAAATATATGCCCTCCTCCAAATTCTTCAAAAACGTGCCACTGGAATTCACCACTTGCTCTCCTTCTATACATCGAAATATATATAACACAAATTATACATACAAGTAAATAAACATTTCATAAATAAAATAGTAAGTGTATAAAACTATTTTATGAGTCATTATAAACCGATGAACATAAGTTTTATAACAAAGTTACTAAAAACATAAGAAATATAGGTTATATTCCCTTTATTTTAAATTATAAGTTCTAATACATAATTTTTCACACATGCAAAGTAAAGGGACTCGAGGAGGGACTGAGGGAGTACTCTCGTCTTAATTGAACACAATCCTGAATGTTGATCACGCATCGGACGGCTGAGAAACATCGCCTAATTTGGATGGTCGGTAGTAACTCAAGGGCGGTGGTGCATAGCTGGGACGGCTCTCCGCTGCTCCAAAGATTGTGTGGAGACATTCCCCGGCAAGAGCCAAGAAGACTCGACGAAAAGCACACCTAAGAGGCCTTGCGTTGGTGGGAGAAACAGCGGCACTCACGGTGAGCTCGCACAACGGGACTCGAATAAGGCAAAATGTGCGCTGGGGAGAGAAAGATTGGACGCGATGGCGATGCGATTAACCAACAATATAAACAGATTCAAGAAACACAGTTTTAAGAACTCTAACAAATTAACCAGCAAGAACATAGTTTCAAGAACTCTATGTCTACATCGAAGAAGTGAAAAGACACAATTTTAAGAACTCAGAACAAATTAGCCAACATGAACAATATAAAAGAATTTTTGTTCCTAAACACGTAAGAATTCTTGTCTAAAAACCCAAAAAAAATCTAGCACACCTAAAGAAGAATATAAGCTCAATCAATTATCGCATATCAAACACCATGTTTACACTATCTCTCACTACTCTAATTGTGTACATACAGATCAATTAGAGCACCCGTTAAGGCAGTGATCAATATACAAGTGTGGGCTTGGACATCAATCTAACAAGCACACAACTATATAACAAGGCAACCACAACAACACTATCACAGAGATATATGTTGCACAAAGTAATACTAAGTAAAGTAGAGAAAGATTACATATTGAATAAAGTAAAATCTTGCCCTCTAGATTTGGAAACCCGAGTAAAACTCAGCTCTACTCTAACTCCCACACTAGACTATCCTACTAAACTAAGATACAATGGAGCTCTCTACTTCTTGTGTATCTCTTCCATTTAGTCATGAATGGAGAGGGGATGTGACCCTCTATTTATAGGAGTTGGAGGTTGCCCCATGAATCCAAGTGCTTTCCTCCTCAACCACTTGATCAAATTGCCATAAAATGCACGGTGGAGATGTGTCAAAGTTGTGTTTGTTTGCATGGCAGCTGGTGGAGGCGGTGGAAGGAAATGGGGGGAGGGGTTGGCCGACCCCTGCTACTCGGTGGGGCCATCGCCTCTAGTGGGGTCCCTCTTGGCACCATCTTGAGTGGATTTGTGAAGGATGGGACACTTGATCACGTCAATTTCTTGATGTGTGGGCCATCCAATCCACGTGCTTTGAACTTGAGTTGTCCAAAGAAAGCACAATCTCCATCCAAGGGCTAGAAATGCTTGGGAGTGTGTTTCCTTGATCCACACAGGATTGGGGGTAGTGGGACCCTCCTAGTGTGGGCCCACTGGCACCATTTCTCCATGATGACATACGTTGCATAGAAATACTCTAGGTACACGTGGAACTTTGTTATTTGATAAAATATCCTCATGATATGCTCATTTTCCTTTTATTCGGAGACCTGTTGATGATGTCTTGGATATGTAAAAGTGTGACATTTTTACCATCAATGAGATCCCCCAAGCTTAACCTTTGCTTGTGAAGCGTCCCTGGTTATTCCGAAACTCAAATGTGATAAAATACTAGTCATAGAAGGCTAGTACGCACATTTATTACATCAGATAGTCTCAAAGTAGTAGTTCAAACGGAAGCGGGCACTTAAACCGTGCCAAAATAAAGATACAGATGGATCCAAAGATCCACACAAATCAACACGCTAACATCTAGTGATCCCATGCCAGAAGTGTGCTTTCGGCTTAACGTGCAGGTGCTGCTGGTTGGACTTTTTGGCATGCACATGGCCGTGGTCATACTGCTGGTGCATGAACGTGCTGGTGGGGCCTTGCTTGCGCGGTCGGTCGTCGGCACAGGGTGAGAAGCCTGCAGCGCTACAGCTTGCCATTAATGGATGGCACGTGAATTTCTACGAGCTGCCGCGGTCGGTCGTTCAGCCTCGTTTCAGCCAGGCTTATCAGCCAGCCAATAGTATTTTTCTCTCACAACAAACCAGCACCAGCCGAGCTTATCAGTTCAGAAACCAACCAGCGAACAGACCGGTTGCCGGGCGCATGCTGCGCCCGCTAAGCGACTTGCTATAGCGAAGTAATGGCTCTGCGGTGAAGCTTGCTAGGGAAGAGTACTGCAAGCGTGCTATGCGGGCTTGCTCTGCGAGTGCTGAGTGTGTGCTCCGGGGATTAGGAAGGAGAAGAATAGTGAGAGCTGGAGTTGGAGAATATTTAGACAAGGGATAAATTAGAGCTCAGATGAGAATCAATTTTAGAAATGATTTTGAAAATAGTTTTGAATTCGCATGATTTATTTATTTAGATTTTTGGGATGTTACAGCTTGTCTCGAGCAAAAGATTAAAACTTAGCCTTAGTGGATCAGAAATTGCTACTATGCTTCACATTTCAATATGGTGCTGGTGCTCCAAATGTATTTTTTTAGAGGCGAAGCTCTTCCCAACAGGTCCTAATAACCAGGTTTAATAAAAGTTAAGGCTAAATTTATTGTTTATTTAAACTCTCGGGTGATTTGATCATCAGTTGGTGAGATATGAAACTCCAAAGTTAGGCAAACATACAGATTTGAGTTTAAAATCCCAAAGTTCAAACAAGCTTAAAATTCCAAACTTCAAACAAGTAGTAACTTTTGTGAACTTTGGCTTGATGTTTGTTGTCCAAAAGTCCAAAACATATTTGTCAAAGCGGATTCTGATTACACACCAGTAGGCCCTAGATCACTCGAGGCCAGACATTGCCTAGACACGCAGCGAGGTAGGTCCAAAATAGCGAGGCCAACCAATGGGTCGGCTATACAGATTCAACACTTGTTTTGTCCCAAAAAGTCATCAACACCTTCTGGGAAGACCCATCGGGGAGAAGCACAATGGGGTCGCCCTAGGATCGGCAATGCCACCTAGAATGCCAACAAATCTCATCGAGAAAGGTGCTAGACAAAAAGGGTTGAAAGAGCTAAAGGTAGACGAAGAGGGTAGTAGATTGATGTTTTGATCGATTATGTAGGGTTTGAACCTAACGGGCAAAGTCAATACACAAAGTTAGCTCAAGAACTTTGTGCACAATGTCGAACTTCTGATGGTGCGCAAAACTTGAGAGACCAAGCTAAAAACTTGTGATCCCTGCTCATACCGGATTGATCCGGCCGGTGTGCACATTGGACTAGTCTAATATGACTTGTCACAGAACACTAAGGGTTAGTTCCCATGAGGCTCTCACTCATATCTCACATGGTCAACTTGAGCACTATAGACTAATCAATTATCATCATGTTGCATCACTCTTGATAGTATGGCATACCCATGAACTCAAGATTAAATAAAAACTAAATTCAAATCACTAGAACTCCAATTCTCTCCAAATGTCGATTCTTGCAATCTTCAGAGCTTGAGGGTAGCAACCAACTTTTTTCATCCATTTAAGCATAACCATCTTGAGCACATGAATTTGAACCATCTCACACATCTGAGTTCAAATCATGTCTCCATGTCACTTCTTCAAATATCCAAAAATGATTTGATCCTCCTCACAATGTGACTTCTCATAGGTTGATTAGTGCCAAGACTCAATGCAAGTACTCTCTTCTTCACCATAGTCATGGTCCATCAGTGCCCAAGCTATCGCTTGTCATTCACCCTTGCTTGGT